TCATGTGGATATTATTCTAACTTTGTTGCTTATATGATTGTCCTGCACTAAAGACTTGTAGATATGAAAAGTTGGCTTTGTAAGTAATTTGCAAATGGGTTCATAAAAATGAAAATGGTAAAAAAGTAATTTATAATATTCAGACTAAATCAAATCTTTTAACCTTGTGGGTATTACACTAAGTATTGTAAAGAAGTACAATTGAGCTTTTTAGGATTTGAACTTTGAGTTGACGCTAATATGATGGGTCTATTTCAAGTTTTTTTTGGAGTTTAAATAACTCGAATTTGAACTCAATTTATAAGCTCTATCAAGTATTTGAGTTTAATTTAAAATTTAAATTAAATAAAAGTTAAAATTTTAAATATTTAATATATAATTAATTTTTAATACAATTAAATCAAATTGAGTGAAGTTTAATTTATAATTTAAATTTAATTGTACTTGATTTTTTTTATTGAGTTTTCAACTTAAACCCAAGTCAAGTCAGGTTCTAATTCAAGTTTTACCTGAGTGCTGTAATTCATTTATAGCCCTAATTACACACCATCTTTGAAGTCTTAATGACTACTAGAAGAATGCTGGAACCGCAAAACTAACAAAGTGAAGGTTGAGGACCAACTTATACTTTGAGCCAAAAATTAAGGACCAAAGAAAGCAATTTGCCTTGGACGGAGAGAAGAAAACATATGAATGGAATTCATCAATCATCTCAATTCACGTGTTAAAGTATAATTAAAGTTGAAGCTGTCACCGACCGCGAACGTGTCAATTGTCCTTGGGTGTGTGGGCGCTAAAGATATTTACATAGGCGAATTTGAAAAAGTGTGTAAAGTTGTGCAATAAAAGAATAAAGGCCAGATTAAGACGCCTGTAATAATATAAGAAAAAAATGATAATGATAAAGCTTAAAGCCAAACTGACCTGTTGCAATAGATCCAATACCTATTCTTTACCCACAACAACAAATCACCATAACACAAGTCACACATGAATTGGGAAATTTAAGATGAGTTGTTTTGGGAATTGCAGTAATCTTTTGCGCAACCTAACAGCATAATTTGAGTCCAGCTTATGAGGGAACAACACAACCACCAAGTATGAAGCTATTTGTGGGAAATATGTATATATGTATATAAATGAGTAAGGATTCATTTATACACTAGTTTTATACACTACATTTATATACACTCTCAACCATTCATCTCTTTACTTTTAATGATTGGGATTTATTTACATTTATTCAAAATAATTATCTTTTTTACTTAAAAAATAATAACAAATCTCAACTATTGAAAGTAAAAAAATAAATAATTAAAATTTTGTGTAAATGTAAAGTGTAAAACTTGTGTATGAATAGATTCTTCTTCTATATATATTTCAGAAAATCAAAATTAAGACTTCCTTACATATTTTGTTTAATAGTAACATAATGCATTTGATAAAGTTATAGAAGAGGTTTAAGGCCAGCCAATGACATGTGAATCCAATGCTCTGTCCTACCAGCTTAAGCTTTTGGGTTTGAAGTTTAAGTCCAACAGGTATGCATTGTACATTCCTTGTGAGCTACCATTGGCCTAGTTTTCCCACAAGAGCTAACTAGGGGGTGTGCTTGTGTGGCCTAACTAGGTAAAGCATTCTACATTAGATAAAAAGGGGATCTTGTGGACTGCAAAACAACCAATATTTAGGCTCAGAATTTCTGGCCCGGCTCATATGAAGATCCAAAAGGGTTTTCCGGTTCGCTTCTCTTCCTCCCTTACATATTCTTTACTAATAATGATTTAATGTACCAAAATTTAGAATTAATGATAT